AAAAGAAACAAAGCAAGAGGTATCACACTTTCAGACTTCAAACTTTACTATAAGGCTACAGTAATCAAAACAGCTGGTATTGGTACAAGAACAGGCACACAGACCAATGGAACAGGATAGAGATTCTGGAACCAAAGCCTCAATTCTTCAACCAACTCATCTTTGACAAAGCCTCCAACAACAACCACTGGGGAGAGGAGAACCTATTCAGTAAATGGTGCTGGGAAAACTGGCTGACCACATGCAGAAGATTGTAACAGGACTCCTACCTATCACCATACAATGCAAATTAAAACCACACTGAGATCCCACCTAGCTGCAGTCAGGATGGCTATCATCAATAATTCAAAAAGCAATAGATTCTATAGAGGATGCAGTGCAAAGGGAACACTTCTACACTGTTGGTGGTAGTGCACACTAGTACAGCCTCTGTGGGAAATAGTGTGGCGATTCCTAAAAGAGCCTTCTTTTTTTAAAGCATAGTCCTACTCTCATCTATCTCTCTTTTCCCCAACCAGACAGTATCTTTCTCTGTGCTGTGTCGGGTTATCTGAGCTTGGGGCAGTAGTGATGCAGGTTACACAGGATTGTCCTGTTTACCCTCTAGAATGCATCTTTTCTTATCATTATACTATAATCAGGTACTATGATCTTTCATCTGGCTCCCTTAGCTCTTGTGAAGACACTTTCATACATGGATATTTGTTCAATATCCATGAAATATAATTGAGGTTTCTGTGGGGAAATAATCACTGGAGAGTCCTATTATACCACCTTGTTTCACCAATTGTCCACCAGGAACTCATTAAATGGTGTCAAAAAGTGGGACTTAATGAGTGTAACAATAACTGAATTGCAAAGGAGGACAGGAATTTATCAGAAAACAGTGAAAAGAGCCAGTTAAAAAAACCAACCTAACTTCTTGATCCTATGTTAGGTAGACTGTTTAAAAAGTAAGGCTGTAAAAGACTTGCTACAAGCAAATACATATTTGCCTTTTTACCTTGCAGTCTTGTGTGCAGCATTCTCCAGAACCACAAGCAAAACCACCTTTCAATTTACATTTTGAGGGATCACAGCATTTTACATGTGTACAATTCTGTAAAACAAATGTTAAGTATTAATCATATATGGTTATATACCATCAAATGAAACAGCACCTCACAACTGTATAAAGTATAAAGATGTTCAAAAGTTACAATTTTCATAATTCATTCTTTATATGAGATTTACAAAAATCATCTCATTTAGTAGTTTGTTAAAAAAAAAAAAAAAAAAAGGAAGCATTGTATCACTACATTCCACATAATTTGAATGATATTGTTTTGGAACCAAAACCTAGAGAATATCACTATTAGATATCCTGACCAGGCATGCTGGCCCACGCCTGTCATCCCAGCACTTTGGGAGATGGAGGCAAGAGGACTGCCTGAACCCAGGAGTTTGAGACCAGTCTGGGCACCTTAGTGAGATCTCGTCTCTATGATAAATCAAACAATTAGCCAGGCATGGTGGCGCTCACCTGTAGTCCCGGCTACTTGGAAAACTGAAGTGGAAGAACTGCCTGAGCCCAAGGCTGCAGCAGCCTGGGTTACAGAGGAAGACTCTGACTCGAAAAAAAAAATTACTGACTATCATTTCCTTTAAACATTTCTTTATATTATTGCTTTTACAACAAATTATATCAGCCAGGTTAAATATCCTTAATATTTTTTATGTAAAAATCACAAAAATTTACTGCACTTACTCCTTATCTCAATGCCTCCCCTTACTTTTTTGGAAGAAATGAAAAACAAGAGATTCCAGAATTGCACTGTCCTATGTGGTAACCACAAGCCACATGTAGCTATTTTAATTTAACTTAACTAAAATTAAATAAAATTAACAATTTAATTACTCAGTCGCATGAGCCACATGCCAAGTGCTCAATAGCAGCATATGGACAATGGACAGTGTATTGCACATCACAGAAAAATATTTCTCTTATTACAGTTATATTTATATAATGTTTTATATATAAACAAGAAAATTTTTGAATGGATGCTTCATTTTATCAAATTTTTGAAAGGTATGTTGGATTATCATATAACTTTGTCCTTATTTATTTTACTGTTGCAAATAAAACTGATTTGCTATCAAATATTAAATCAAAGAGCAGTCAGGCAAGAGAAGAAAATAAAAGGTATTAAATAAACAAAGAGAAAGTCAAACCATCTCTGTTCGCTGATGACATGACTGCATATCTTAAAAACCCTAAAGAGTCCTCCATGAGACTCCTAGTCTTGATAAATGACTTCAGTAAAATTTCAGGATACAAAATCAGTGTATAAAAATCTGTACCATTGTTATACACCAATAACACTCAAGCCAAGAATCAAATCAAGAGCTCGGAATACACTTAACCAACGATGTAAAAGATCTCTACAAAAAGAACTGCAAAACACTGATGAAAAAAATTGTAGATGACAAAAACAGATGGAAGAACATCCTATGCCTATAGATCAGAAGAATCTATTTTTAACCATACTGCCCAAAGTAAGCTACAGATTAAGTGCAATCTCTATCAAGATATCAACACTGCTACTTTCTAGCTGGCCTGGGAGGAAATAGAAAGACCTGAGGCTTTCATTTTCCCAAGGGCAAACTCCATTGGACAGTTAATGTCTGGGGCGTACTGCACTTTTATCTTCTGAATGCAAACCACCTGATGATAAAGTGGAAAAGCTAAGTATAACTTCTTGCCGCAGAAACCCTGTGCTTCCCATGTAAACTCTTTTGTGTAGCCCCAGCACAACACAGTAGCATTACCACAACAGCCAGGGACTCCTTCCCAATGGAGTAGCCAACCATGCACACAAATGATGAGCTGGAGACTTTCATCCTCCCTCCACCCCTATTCTCCTGGAAGGCTCAAGACAGACAGGGAATTTTGGTAGTCACCAAGTCCCAGCCATTGTCTTAGTCAGCGGTGTACTTCCTTGGAGCAACACAAGCCAACCAAAAAGCCCACAACTACCATCCCAGTTGACTGTCTCCTACAAGTGCCATCTCCTGGCTGGAAGTCAACTGGAACAGCCCATTGCATCTAATATAATACCTCAGCTCCCAAAAAGATCTGATCCTAGATCTCAGCTAACACAACTATCCAAACCACCCAGCACAGCACAGCCACAACAAGCAGTTGAGGAACCCACTACAAGGCTATATAGAACTCATCCCCTACAAAAAAAAACCCTACAGAGACTACAACATCCCCCTACCAAAGTCAGGGCTGGTGCTCGCACCTGCCACTGCGAAATCAGAAGACAAGTCAGCCCGGTTCAGCTCTACCTAACATTGTCCTCCCCAGCAGATAAAAGCAAACCTCATATCACTACACATCTTACAGACTAGTTTATAGCCTGAGGCATTGGAGAGCTTCTCCAGAGATATCTCCAGAGACCAATTCTACTCAGAACTTAACCTCCACCTTCACACCAGATCCCTTGCAGGCACTCCCTAGCACTAGTCCGAATTGTACAGCCCCATTGGACAGCTAGGCCCAGAAGAAAGCAGAACTCACATGTTACCAGGGGGAGTGCAGCACATCAAGGAAGCACCCAGTGGGACAAATAAATAAAACTAGAGTGTAAGCTTCTTGGTGTCACATATATTCTGGCCTGAGGGAAGCTTCTTTCAGAAAGAGGCACAAGCACATTGCTGGGCTTAGCAGGGAAAGGTGATGGTTCTATTCCAACAGTCAAGCCACCTGGGTGCCATGAATTGTTTGTGGAGAAGGAAACTTGGCCATCCCTGTGCCAACCACTGCAGACATTTGTTTTTCTTGAAGGAGCTCAGTACAAGTGCACCTAGTGACACCATTTCTGCACCATTTGGGGATAACGGCAAAACAATGAGGGGTGGGTCCTTTGGGCTCTGGCTAGCACAAGATGTAGAGTCCCGTTCCTTCCCTACAAGGAACGTCAAGGTTCCTACGGATGGACAGAGGTGCATGTCTGATCTGAAAATTCAGAACAAAACAAGGGAATGACAAAAAAATTGGACTGCTTTCCTGCTAGCCTAGTAGTAAGCTGATGTGCCCCTCCCCACCCCAATTAAGCCCTCAGTGCACTACACTGGAGGCTCTCCCAACTGCCTTCATCAGGGCTGAGACTTTAGCCCACTATAGGAATATTGCATATAACCACTTACTTCAGCTGCAACCACTTCTCACCCACAGGTACCTCCTAACAGCCTGAAGACTGAATGGTTCAATCAAGAGAAAAAGTACTGGGGGGAAATGGGGTGCACTACACCACTGGGGAGTAAGATAGGCTTTGTCACCTCTTTGGCACCATAGCTCCACAGGATATGGTGAACCTACAAACACACATCCAATAATTGTTACTATAAGTAGTATCTGAAAAAGCCATTGCACAAAAATTCTCTATAACTAAGGAATTTATGCAAAGCCTAGACCACTGAAAGCATTAGAGCCAAAGCTAGATGAGTACAAAATAAAAACATTAAAGTCATATTCCTAAGGGTGAGGAAGTTAATCAAAAACAAATCTAAGAAGAAGAATAAATGGTCTACTCAAATGTGAAGAAATCAGAAAACAATTGTGGCAATATGAAAAAACAAGAGTTTTCAACACACCCGAAATACCACACTAACTCTTCAGCAATGGGCCCTAACCAAAATGAAACCTTTGAAATTCCAGAGAGAGAGAAAATCTAAAAGGTTGATTATAAAATGGCTCAATAAGATCCAAGAGAAAGTTGAAAATAGACATGAATAATTTTTTTTTAAACTATTCTGGACATGAATGAAAGATTATCCAAAGATATAGACACTTAACTAAAAAAATAAAAAAATAAAATAAAAAGCTGAACTTCTGGAAACGAAAAATATTTAGGGAAGTAAAAAATGTAGTAAAAAGTTTTAACTGTAGACTAGAGCAATAGAAGAAAGGATCTCATAACATGAAGACAAGGTTTTCATGTTAACCCAATCAAACAACAATAAAGAAATAAAAATCAAAAGAATAGAGCAAACATTTCAAGAAATATGTAATTATGTAAAATGTTCAACCTTAAGAATCATAGGTTTTTCTGAAGAAAAGAAAGCAACAGGTTTAGAAAACCAACTTGAGGAAATAATCGAGAAAAACACCCTGGCCTTGTCAGGGATTTAAACATTCAGATACAAGAAGCCCAAAGAACACCTGGAAGATTCACTGCAAACAGGCCATCCCCAAGGCATATAGGCATAAAGGTATACAAAGTTAATATGAAGGAAATAATTCTAAGAGCAGTGAAACAAAAGTCTCAAATAACATATAAATATAAACCATTCAGACTAATGGCAGGCTTCTCAGAAAAACTCTCAAGTCAGAAGAGATTAAGGCCCTATCTTCAATCTCCTCAATCAGAATATCTCTGCCAAGGATTTGTTATCCCATAAAACTAAGTTTTATAAATAGAAGATAAATAGAGTCTTTTTCAAACTAGCAAATGTTGAGGTAATTTGTCACCACTAGACCAGCTCTGCAAAGGAGGTCTAAATATTGAAACAAGTGAAAATACACTTGACAGCATAAAGCCCACAGGGTTTATAGAACACAAACACAATAGAGAAAAAAAGATAACAATCAACATGACAAATAGAGGAAACCCTTGCATATTATTAATAAGCTTTTATGTAATTGGTCTTAATGCACCAATTAAAAGATAAAGATTGCTAAATTCGATAAAAAAAAAAACACAATCTAAATATATGGTACCTTCAAGAGACCCAAGTAACACACATAGACTTCCATAGACTCAAGGTAGAAGTGTGGCAATATTTCAAGCAAATAGAAACCAAAAAATGAGAAAAAGTAGCCATTCTTATATCAGGTAAAATAGACTTTAAATTAGCAACAGTGAAAAAAAGACAAAGAAGGTTATTACATAATGATAAAGGAGTCAATCCAACAAGAAGATAAAATAATTCTAAATATGTAGGCACCTAACACAGAGCTTCAAGTTTTATAAAACTAATTTTTCCAGACCTAAGAACAGAAACAGACACCAATACAATAATAGTGAGAGACGTCAATACTTCATTGGCAGTAATAGATCATCAGGCAGAGGGTCAACAGAGAAACACTGGAGTTAAACTGAACCCTGAAGCAAATGGTCCTAACAGACACCTACAGAACATTCTACTCCCAAAACTGCAGAATATACATTTTTCTCATCAGCACACAGAACATTCTCCAACATAGACAAATGATAGGCTACCAAAAAGGTCTCATTACATTCAAAATAATCAAAATCATATCAAACACCTTCCCAAATCACAAGAACAATTCTCAAAACAAAACAAATACATGGAAGCTAAACTCCTGAATTATCATTGCATCAACAATGAAATCAAAATGGAAATTTAAAAATTCCTTGAAATAAATTACAACAACATAAGTTATCAAAACCACTGGGACATAGCCAAAGTTGTACTCAGACAAGAATTTATTGTACTTAAAGTCTACATTTAAAAGACTGAAAAATCACATTTTGATACATTAACATCATACCTTGAGGAACTTGAGAAACAGAAACAAACCAAACCCAAAACTAAGAAAAAAAGAAAAGAAATAATGAAGATCAGAGCAAAACTAAATGGAATTGAAAGCAAAAAAATCAATACAAAGGATCAAAGAAACAAAAAGTTGGTTCTTTGAAAAGATAATTGAAATTGATAGACCACTAACTATATTAAGAAACAAAAGAAGATTCAAATGACCTCAGTCAGAAGTGAAAATGGAGATATTATAACTAATACTACACAAATACAAAAGATAATTTGAGCTTATTATGAGTACTTCTATGTAAACAAACGAGAACCTAGAGGACATGGGTACATTCTTGGAAATATGCAACTCTGGATCAGGAAGAAATACAAACCCTGAGCAGACTAATAACAAGTAGTGAGATTGAATTAGTAATTAAAAATATCTGCCTGCCCCCAAAATATCCAGGTCCTGATGGACTCACAGTTGATTTTTCTACCAGTCTTTCAAAGAAGAACTGATACCAATATTGCTAAAGCTATGCCATCAGATTGAAGAAGAGCAAGTTCTCAGTAACTCATTCTATGAAGTCAGTATCATCTTCAATACCAAAGCCAGGAAAAGACACAACAAAAAATAAAACTACAGACCAATATTCCCAAGGAACATCCTTAGCAAAATATTAGCAAACTGAATTCAACTGCACATTTTTAAAAATCCACCACAATCAATTTAATTTTCTCCCAGAGATGCAAGGATGGTTCAATATATGCAAGTAAATAAATATGATTCACCACGTAAAAAGAGTGAAAAACAAAAGGCATATATCATTTCATTAGACACAGAAAAATCATTTGATGAGATTCAGTATCCCTTCATGATGAAAACCTAGGCATAGAAAACAGCAAAATAGGCATAGAAGGAACATTCCTCAAAATAATAAAAGTCATATATGAAAACCCACAGCCAATGTCATCCTGAATGGTTTTGATGCACTCCCCCTCAGAACTGGAACAAAACAAAGATTTCCATTTTTATCACTCCTATTCAACATGGTTCTGGAAAGTCCTAGCCAGAGCAATCAGGCATAAGAAAGAAATAAAGGCTATCCAAACTGGGAAAGAAGAAATCAAACTATCTCTGTATGCCTATGATATAATCTTATATTTAAAGAGTCCTCACAACTCTTCCAGAATCCTAAGCTTGATAAATAATTCAGTATACTCTCAGGAAACAAAATCAGCACACTCAAATCAGTAGCATTGGAATACACAAATAGCAACCAATCTGAGAATCAAATCAACAACTCAATTCCATTTATAATAGCAGCCAAAAAAGCTAAAATATCTAGGAATATATTTAACCAAGGAGGTGAAAGAACTTTACAAGGATAACTACAAAACACTTATGAAAGAAACTGTAGAGGACGCAAACAAATAGAAAAACATCCCATGATCATAGATTCAAAGAATCAACATTGTTGAAATGACTGTATTACCCAAAGTATTCTACAGATTCCACACAATCCCTATCAAACTATCAAATATCATTTTAAACAGAATTAGAAAAAACAATTCTCAAATTCACAGGGAACCATTAAAAAGCCAGAATATCCAAAGCAATTTTATGCAAAGAGAACAAAGCAGGAAGACTCATATTGTCCATCTTCAAATTATACTACAAGGCTATAGTAACCAATACAGCATGGTACTGGTACATGAGCAAACATGTAGACCATGTGGAGAATCCAGAAACACAACTAAATACCTACAACCAACTGATCTTTGGCAAAGCCGACAAAAGCATACATTGGAAAAAGACACCTTATTCAATAAATGATGCTGAGAAACATAAATAGCTGCATGCAGAAAAATGAAACTTGATCCTATCTCTCACCATAAACAAAAATTAACTCAAGATGGATTAAGGACTTTAATGCCAGACCAGAAACTATAAATATCCTTGAAGAAAACCTAGGATTAGCTCTGCTGGACATTGGTTTAGACAAAGAATTTATGGGTAAAACCCCAAAAACAAATGCAACAAAAACAAAAATAAATAAATGGGCTTGATTAAAATAAAAAACTTCTGCACAGCAAAATAAATAATCAACAGAGTAAATAGGCAACCTATAGAATGGGAGAAGATATTTACAAACTATACCTCTGACAAAGGACTAATATACAGAATCTACAAAGAACTCAAATAAGTCATTGAGGAAAAAGCAAATAACCCCATTAAGAAGCAGGCAGACAACATAAACAGACATCTCTCAAAAGAGCGTATACAAATAGCCAACAAACATACAAAAGAATGCTCAGTATCACTAATCATCAGGGAAAGGCAAATTAAAATCACAATAAAATACCACCTATACCAGTCAAATTTTTTAAAATCAAAAAACAATAGATTTTTGCCTGGATGCAGTGAAAAAGAAATGTCTACACACTGTTGGTGGGGTATAAATTAGCATCACCTCTACAGAAATTGGTATGGAGATCTCTCAAAGAACTTAAAATAGATCTACCTACCATTCAATCCAGCAATTCCACTACATGGTATCTACTCAAAAGAACAGAGGTTTGTTAAAAAAAAACAAAACAAAAACAGAACTCGTATGTTTATTGCAGCACAATTCACAATTGCAATGATGTGGACTCAAGTGAGATGTCCATCAGCTGATTAGTGAATAATGAATACATACATTCACCATGGAATACTATTTAGCGATAAAAAAGAACAAAATAATGTTTTTGCAGCAAGTTGGATGGAATTGGAGACCATCATCCTAAGTGAAGTAATCCAGGAATGGAAAATCAATGCTGCATGTTTTCACTTAAAAGTGGGAGCTAAGCTATGGAACTGCAACAGCATATTCAACGGTGTAATGGACATTGAAGACTCAGAAGCAGGAGGGTGGAAAGAAGGGTAGAGATGAAAAATCACCAACTGGGCATAATGTGCACAGGTAGGGGTGGGGGATATACTTAAAATGCAGCCTTGTTTACCATTATACAGTGCATTCATGGAACCAAAAATCATTTGTATCCCCTAAAGTTATTGAAATAAAAATAACCATGTATACCCCTAAATATGGACAACTATTATATATCAATAAAAATTTTAAATAAATAATATAAAAACCAACATTAATTTTCACAGAACCACAAAAAAATTCTAAAGTTTATATAAAACAAAAAGAGCCCTTTATGCACTGATACAAAACTTACTTGAGGCATATTATTAAGAAATAAAAACAAGTTGCAGAAAAATACGTAGAGTATTAGATAATTTACTTCCAAGACTTCCCCACTGAATTATTCCCCCATATTTCTATAGGCATATATATCTGTAAATATAGATTTAAAAGACTGGAAAGATATGAGCAAAACTTGTAACAGTGGGTTTGATATCCTTTTTATCAACTTTTACCATTGTTTTGGTTTGATCGTGGTTTTATGTATTCTATAACTAAGAGATTTTGTTTCAAAACATTTTTATTTGGAATCACCTTTCAATAAAAAACTTTTTCTCCAATTAGCAGGCAATGCATTTTACTATCCTACCAGTTATAGTCCATCATTTTTACATGTTATCATCTGTTTTTGTTACTGCTTATTGCTAAGGGTGTATTTCTTCACTCTCTTAGACATGCTTTATGTTCACCAACTTTTTGTTTGCAACTGATACATATACTAAATAATGTCAGAAGGCAATATTTGAAGATAAATGTTATCTAAGGACCTTTGTTTGCCACTTCCAAAAATAATAAAACTAGGAGACTTGAAATCTTCCACCTTCCTCAAAGAAGAATACATTTTTCAAATTTATTTTTACTAATACAAAAGATATTTATCTTCTTTTCTACCTACTATATATATATAAGAAGTTAAGAAAAAAATTAAACAAATTTCTACTAACTTTTTTAGTGCCACAATCACATTCTTCAGGAGATTCCAGCACTCCATTGCCACATATTCTCCTTAATTGTTTGTAAACTGGTGTATTAACAATATTGCTCTGAAGACATTTAAGGCCCCCATTTGAAGCAAGATATTTAAAGTCATCCAAGCTACAGATGCTAAAATCCTTTACACCCCCCGAGTACCTAAAATATAAAAATATGAATATGACAAAAAGTATTGCTTTACATTGTTACAATTCCCCTAACATGGTGTTTTGAAGAGAGATTTAAAGAGCATCATTTTTCATGGAAAACAATAAGCAAAACTTAAAAGTACTTATTATATTGCTAATATGTTTTAACACACTTTTAACTCTACCAAGAAAATAATTATATATACAAAAGGTGCCAAAAATATAGACACATTTAAGAAAGGAAAAAACTGTAATACTCAATATACACTGATAACAAAAGATGAATACAAATCACGTTTGACTTCTGCAATTACAAGAGGTGCCCAAAGTCATTACCATCAAAATCCAGACACTTTGATTACAGTGAACTTAAAGTAATACATAGATAACATCTCTTAAAATGTGTATACATTTTTGGCACCCCCAGTATACGATAGATAGATAGATAGATAGATAGATAGATAGATAGATAGATAGATAGATAGATATAAATATATTCCAAATTTTTTTTTGTAATCCATCTGGTTTTATACAAGACTTAGTATATGTATAAGGGGACTTCAAACTTCATTAAAAATGAAATCAAGGAATAAAAATAAAAGCATACACTTTATTTTTCAACATAAGCTTCATTAAGTTCAAAATGTACGAGGAAATAAAGGGTTTTATTTTAGCAGAAATGATAATTTTTTAAAAAACAAATCCTAGAGCTAACATCATCATGCTATAATCTGATAAGCAATGGCACTCTGAAAAACTGAATGCTTTTCCCCTAAGAATGGGCACAAAACAAGAATACCCATTCTCACCACATCCATTCACATTGGACTGAAGTTATTTCTTTTTTTTTTTTTTTTTTTGAGTTGTAGTCTCACTCTTGTCACCCAGACTAGAGTGCAGTGGCCGCTCTCGGCCACCGCAGCCTGGACCTGCTGGGCTCTGGCGATCCTTCCACCTCAGCCTTCCAAGTAACTGGAACCACAGGCACGTGCTACCACGTCCGGCTAATTTTTTGATTTATTACAGAGATGAGGTCTCGCCAAGTTGCCCAGGCTGGTTTCGAACCCGCGGGCTCAGTCAATTCACTCACCTTGGCCTCCCAAGGCGCGGGATTACTGGCTGAGCCACCAAGCCCGGCCTGACTGAAGTTATTTCAAGTACAATTAAGCAGTAAGAAAAAATTACTTGCAAATGGGCTAAAAAGAAAATATAAAAGTGCTGTAATTCTATTGCTTGTCTATAGAAAATCTTAAAGAATCAAAAGTAAAATGTCTCAGAATTTATAAACAAATTAGGCAAGTTTGCAGCACTCAAAGTCAATATACAAAATCAATTATATTTCTATGTACTAGCAAAGAATCATCTAAAAAATTGAGATAAAGAAAACAGTTCTATCCATCACAGTGCAAAAAAGAATAAAATACTAAGGAATAAATTTAAGAAGAGAAGTGTAGGGCTTGTAAGCTATAAAATACAACACATTGCTGAAAGAAATTAAAGAATACCTAAATAAATGAGGTAATATATCATATTCAAAGATTAAAAGTTTCAACATTAACATGGCAATTTTTCTTGAAATCAAACTATGTTATTGAACAATGAAATACTTATCAAAATCCCAGCAGGACTCTCATAGAAAGTGGAAACCTGATAGTAAGATATATGTAAAAATGTAAAAGAATTAGAATAACCAAAACAATTTGGAAAATATTTTTTTAAAAAAAACAAAACTTGGGAAACTTGCACTATCTGATTTCAAAATTCAGTGTAAAGCTATAGTAATAAAGACAGTATGTTTTTCTATAAGGATTTGACATACAAATTAATAGAATAAAGATCGCAATAATAAATCCACACATTTATTGTCAATTGATTTTTGACAAAGTTGCCAAGGCAGTTAAGTGGTAAAAACACTAGTCTTTTCAACAAATAGTGTTAGAATAACTAAATCTGGCTGGGTTCAGTGAATCAGCCTGTAATCCTAGCACTTTCGGAGGCCGAGGTGAGAGGATTGCCTGATCCCGGGGTTTGAGATCAGCCCGGGCAACTTGGGGAGACCTCCTCTGTACAATAAATAAAAAATTAGTCAGGCATGGTAGCACATGCCTTTAGTTCTGGCTACTTGGAAGGCTGAGGCGGAAGGCTCACCGGAGCCCAGCAGGTCAATGCTGGGGTGACCATGAGTGTGCCACTGCACTCCAGCCTGGGTGACAGGGTGAGACATCAACTCAATAATAATAATAACTGTAAATCTATATGCCAAAATAAAAGTGAACTTATACACATATATACAAAACAAACTCAAAATGCATAAAGAATTGATAAATTGAATAGCAAGAACCTGGAAACAACCATGCTGCCCATCAAAAGGGGACTGGATTAAAAAAATGTGGTACATATACACGATGGAATACTATGCAGCC